AACAATAGTAATAATCTAAATGAAATCCACCACTAGAATATAATAATCAGAAGAATCCAAAATCGATCGAGTAACTAGGTCATGCAGTTAGTGATCAAACTAATCATCCAAGTAACGAGATCATACTACTAGTCATTGTATAACAGGTCACTGATCACATCTCACACAGAGTCAACGCTCCTGTCATCGGATAACTGACTGTTCACAAATTCTCTACGTGCATCCAATCCCGCTACACATGCGGCCTAGAGGACTGCACGCAATCCGTTTCTGCCTGGTCCGAACTTCAAACAGAACTCGAGTGACGAAATAAATTCCCACTGACCAAAGTGATGTACACACTTCACTTTAGCCCTACAAACCAACCCCGGTGGCGACACCAACCACGGGAGCGAGCCTGGAAGATACATCAACAGTCTTATCCGACCACATGAACATTAACTTCCCAATCCCAACTCTCTTGTTTTTCTAAGTTAACATATACACAGGTTTCTAAGTCTTAAACAGGACACTCTAGGCCACACTAGTCATGAATTTCTAACGGTTCTCATGCATAACAAAGAGTAAAAAATGCCGCTAATCATATACAACAATATCATAGCATATCACAAAATTAAAATTAAGAAACATAAATCATAAAAAAATTCATAATAATCCCTTTTCTAAAATAAATCTTTTTAAAATATTTATAAATGTCCTAAAATAATTCCTTTTATAAAACTTTCTTAAATTATTGAAATTATTCTAAATTGATACTTATTCTTAAAATAAATTCTTTTAAATTATTTATAAATATTCTAAAATAATTCTTTTTATAAAACTTTCTTAAATTATTGAAATTATTCTAAATTGACACTTATTCTTAAAATAAATTCTTTTAAATTATTTATAATTATTCTAAAATAATTCTTTTGTCAAATAAATTCTATTAATTTATTATAATTATTCTAAAATAATTTTTCACCAAAATAATTTATTATAATTATTTTTAAATGAGTCTTTCGCCAAAATAATTTATTATAATTATTCTAAAATGATTATTTTATCAAATAAATTCTTTAAAATTATAATTTATTCTAAAATAATTTTATTTTATTTTATCTTTACAGTATTTATTATTAAAATATTATTTTTAATATCATTCGTCAAATAAATCTATATAGGTCATCACAGTATATGTATTACAATATGAATGGTCATACGTTATTATCCACTGTCCATTTTGTTCATGACAGTTCTATACGTTATAGTTCTCAGTTCAATATGTTCGCGACAGTTCTATATTTGTAACGAGTAATTATTCGGATAACGAGTTCGTATGCATAATTAATTTGTGATCAATCTAAAATTGTACTGAGCAAGAATAGGGATCTTGCCTTGGGTTTTGTCGATCGAATCGACGTTGACGGTGCAGGTCGAATCTGACGGGAGGGAGAGAGAGAGAGAGATGTGAGTGAGCACGAGAAAGAGGGGTGAGGGTTTAAATAGGAAAAAAATGAATAAAAATAAAAATAAAATAAAATAATGAATGAGATGCGCGTGGGTAGCAGTCATTTTTGAAAAAATGAGGAGGGAGAGAACGTGGTTGTTGGGGTAGCTGTTCGGGGTTTGACGCGGGAAGCAAAAGCTTGGGTTATTTTCAAATGGGTTCAGGTATTTAAACGAAAATAATTAAAATAAATAATTTCGGGTACTTAAAAATTAAACTAATTATATAAAAATTATCTACAAATAAAAACATACATGTTGAACTAATACAACAGTTGATACGAAATAGTCGAAATATACACATATTGTATAATTAAACAAGAATAAATAATAATAAAAATATATTTACTTACATTTAAAATCAAATAATTATGTGATAATTATCTACACGATAAAACGTACCGGTTATACTAATACAACAGCTGATACATAATAATTAAAATAATACAATAATTTACATAAATAATACATAATTAATAATTTAACATAATACAAGAATTAATACGTAATAGTAATAATAATACGACGTATTATTTAAAATAATACGTAATAGTATCAGTAACACAACGGATAAATCCCAGAAATTTTCATTGCACGAAATTAATTTATAAATATAAAAACCATTTAAATAAATAGAAAACTTAGACTTTAAATCATAGAAAATTTCTAAAAAATCGAGAAAATACAAATACTCTTTTAAAAATCATGGGACATGGGAGGGGACATGTGAGGTGTCACCTCCCCATTGCTCCATGCACTGTTTATGAACAGTGCATGGAGCAATGGGGAGGTGACACCTCACCTGTCCCCTCCCCTGTCCCATGGTTTGGGTCCCTGTAGCATTACTCTTACAAGAAATATGAAATAAATAAATAAGGGAGACTCTCCCCTTACAAATTAAGATTCAAGCAAAATTATTTCTTCTTAATTGAAGCGCATCCTTTTATTTTGTTGGGTAGATCATCGATAACATGCATTCTAAAATTAATTATCCTATTAACTTTTACCGTACATATTAGTAATTTAATAATAATTTGAGTTATGTAATTTTATTATAGAGTATACTAAAATGTTATGTAGTAATTAAATAAAAAATATATTCTTCACACAACTTTGTTAAGAAACTTTCTTTATTGATAATAACGTAATTGGAGTAAGTGATTTAAAATAAAAAATGAAAAATGAAGAGTATTGCAATTTAATTATGCAAGTTTAAATCCTATTCTTATGTCATGATTAAGAACGTTCTAGAAATAAGAAAAGAAAAGAAGAGCATAGAAAGAAAAGAAAACTCTCTTGCAAATTACAATTTTAGTTATACGAGTCAAATCCCAGTCAAATATAGAATATTTTAGAAATAAGCATTGAAAAGAAAAGAAAGGAGTGTTTGCTCACTTTGACCTGTGAATTTACCAAAATGCCCCTGCCTTTTCTATTGTGACTGGCATGGCCGCACATACAAATGTACGTGCAAGAGACATACAATTATTTGTAATCTACTATGTGAAAAACTACTTAGTAGTAGATCTTTTTGTAATTTTATATCTTAAAATCTAAAAAAAACTATCCTCTCGTGTTGGTAAATATAAGTTTCTTATCCTCTATGAACAATGTTGTTGGTTTAAGTTATATTTCTGCTATTACAAAATAAAATCTCATAAATGTTGTTGTAATTAATTAAAATCTACCATGTATGAATAAGTCGATTTTGTTTACTGTAATTAATTAAAATTACAATTGAAATATAAAAAGATATTTGTAATAATGCATTTTTAAAGATTTCTTGTCATTTCTTTAAACATCATTGATCACAAAAAGATTACAATATTATTTTTCTTAATAAGAGAAATGTTCTTGTACTCAATAAATTATATTTTATATTTTTTTGAACAATTTCATGGTTATGCTTTTTTATCAAGTACAATGATAATTTTGTTATTTCTTACCCCCCATCATTTGTGGTGGGGGAAAGGGAGGGAGGGAGCATTTAATGCTATATGAAAAGGTGAGCGAAATGGGCAAAAGGACAAAATATCCTTCAAATCCAACTATGTTTCTTATAATATAGCGTAGTATAGATGAGACGTATGGTATTCATACGGTCGACATAAAAACTTGCAAGTTGCAAGCTGCGTGTTGTCCCCAGGATCACTTGCGTCAAAATCAAACTCATATGAATAATAATAAGTTCAAAAATGAGGTACTACAAATGTTCAATGTACAATTAACCCTTAAATAAATAAGATGCAATGCAATGCCATGTACTAATTATACCAGGAAAGAAGAAGAAGAAGAAGAAAGGGGTAAAGGAAAAGCCACACTGAGATAGTGGGAGTGTCCGTAAAAATCCAGAAATGAACTTTACCCAGTGAGATTTGACGGCTGGATCAAAAGCCTGTGTGCCCATTGTTTGGCTCTGAATGCTGAAACGAATATTTTTCAGTGTTTCGAATGTTCAGCCCACCAGAGTCATTTAAAGCTCAATGATTACTCCCACGTGGATTAAATGCAAGACGCGTCACTAACGATCCGTAGTCCATCAATTTGATAAAGTAGTTCCTCTATGAATAGCAGTCACACAACTCTAGGATAAGCCTGGACGGACCGTGTGAACTTGGTCATAAGAACGACTTAGAAATAAATCCAATGATCCAAGGCTGATGAATCCATACATAAACAATGCTTGGGTAATACAAAGTTTGCAAAACTTTTAACAAAACCATTGCGACGCATGTACATACAGTGCTTGTTTAACATGAAACACTAACGCGATGTTCCGTAGAAAAACAAGTGCATGTTTCGCAATTTGTCTCTTGTATTTATCTCATAACATGTATATCACATATGCACTAGTTATGCAATAAACATGCACGGACTCCGATGGTGCATATGCAAATGTTATATGGATTCATATTGCATAACCACTACTTTTACTCCATGTTATACAATCCTCTACAGGTAGCTCCCAATATGATATTTTATTTTCCTTCACGGAAGTACCACCGGGCAATTCTTATGTAGTATTCACAACCTCGAGAATCTGACATTAGAAACTTTTACTGAGTGTCGAATTTAGGGGAGGAAATGAGTATTCAAGACTAGACGAAAAGGGCATAGAGTAACTATGGATAAATATTAACAATTAAAAAGCCTCAAATGAGTTCAAAACTACTCCCAGCAACATAATTCCTTGGGATTTTAGTGCAGACACATCGAGCCAGATAAAATTCTTTCTGATTTCTGGACACAATCTCACAAACTGACCTTGTCTTGTTCGCAAACAGCCTTCAATGACAACGGCACGAGGAAATTATTATTGGACCAGACTTTGAAGGATGACCTTTTGCAACCAGTAGATATTGGCTTATTTTTCTACCTTCCCTCTCTTTGAGGAATATGCGCATACTGTATATAAAAAATGAACGTTGCCAATCTTGTTTCTTTATGGCAACACAAGCGGCTCGATATTCCAGATATCCTTCGCATATTCATGAATTGTCCTGTCACTGCTAAATTTGGAGGAACCAGCTGTATTCAAAATTGACATTCTCGTCCATAACTGCCCAATGAGAAACAAATACATTTAGGAGAGAAAAAGCATAACTGATGGTATAAGCAAGTTGCATAGCATAACTTCTGATTCAGGAAATTTGCATGATGAATTGTGACTCGAATAACACAAGCACGTGAATGGATGCATGTATGTCATGGTTTACAAGTACCAATACTTGGAAATACAAGCTGCATGAATCTTGAAATAAAAAGGTCTGATGCTTTCAATTAACTCTAAATCAACTACTTGATGGTTTTGTACATACTAAAGGGGACTCGTGTTAATGGAAGATGTAATATGACTCCATGCTATATGTGCTTGCCTTTGTTCCCTTTTTTTTTCTTTTTTTTTGGGGCCTATAGCATGTCACTCAAATTCCTGTTCTTTTTCAGAAACAAAAATCAATTTCATGACTTGGAAACCAAAGTTATATATGAGAGAGTAATTTAAATGTACAAGGAAGGACCAAAGAGGATATTTTTCTTGAAATACTTGGCAGAAGGGCAATTGTTCAAGCCTGTGACAAGGATAACGATGGTGGTGTGGGTGAAGATGGTTAATGTGTGTTAGGGGTTTTAGACTCCCGGCCTACTACAATCTCCGCAACTCGGAAGCCAACTGATAATCCACAAGATCGAAAACAACCACAATCAAGAAGAAAGAGCACTGGGATTTATATGGTTTAGTCGATCAACTTCGACCTACTTCCACAGGGCAACAATACAAGAAATCCACAATGTATAATGGAGAACTACAGAGGAACTACTCACCTCTCATCTCTCAATCTCTTAATTTCACATTCATAATCAACTCTCATATTCTTTTCAAAACTTTCTTCTTATAATCTTTTGGATGGGCAAATGCTGTAAAATCTTCTCCCAAAGACTATGAAACTCTCACCTCTCAACAATATTCTTGACTCAGGCTACACCCTCTACTAACTCTAGATTAGAAGAATATTGACTTTCTCCTCTCCTTGTTTTTTCTCCAACAGTAGAAAATTATATATAGAGAAAATAAAAATCCTATTTCTAGCCTAACTTCCTAATTAGAATAGGATACAAACTTCTTATCATGATGTGACACAATCTCTTAATGATGATAGACTTCTAATCCTATCTAATTCTCATAAAGTTATACAAAGAATCAAGGACACAATTCCAACAATCTCCACATTGGATTTGATTCTCAAAACCCCTTGAAGATATACAATTACCATCTTGAAACTTTGTCTCTCCCGCTAGTTCCTCCTATTCTTTCACACTTCAATTCGAAGCACCCACCCTCCTAATCAAAACACCCGCACTCCGAGTCGTGACCCTCGATGTCCTGCCTCGCTATAGCGCCTCCACTTTTCTTGTGCGCACTAAGAGATCTTCGCCACAATACTATAAGCAAATCGAACATGCTTCTCTCTCAAATTGAAATTGGCAGTAGCCTTTCTGCTTGCTATCCTCGTACTCCACCTACATCACTCGTTTTGAACTATATTGGTGCACCTTTTCTACTCTACATTATGAGCCCAATGCTATTATCTCCTTTGCTTGGCTTGAACCAAACATGAGCGCTCATCGTCTTACACCTCTCGTAGTCCAATGCTACTGTCTCCATCTCCACGTGTGTCACTCGGTCGTTTCCGTTTACAAGCTTCACCTACTCCGAGATTATCCTCCTCGAGATTACACATCAACCAATTCCTACTTTTGCGATGACTTCAAATAATTGATGCTGATAATTCTACTTAGAATCACATTTGATTCTCTACACTAGTCTCATCCGTCGTATACTTATTCATCCTATTTGCCATCAGATTTGTCTCGCCAACATTATTAAAACTTTCTTATATCTTCTGACTAATACAAGCATAACCTAAAAATTCAGACCCTTTCATGGCATTCATAGCACTCTAAAACCAGGGAATCATCTCTTAGATCGTCAAGTTCTGCCTCTAATTCACCGATTTGTTGCAAACCAATCTAGACAGTTTGTTCTAATCCAGATCTCCAAACACAAAGGCCAACTACGAACATGGAATCTCTTTGAATCCATCCACTCACTCTTTTGGCATTTTCGTTGCTGGTGAGTGACTCTTCACATAGTCCAAACACCAAACAAAGAACATAAATACCAAAACGCCAATATACAAAAAGAACATCAAATAGCAAAACGCCCCCACATAGAATCGTTGCTCCCCACCTCACATGAATCTCTCACGTGCATCACATGCTTCTTACTTCTCCCCTTTGCAATTCAAGAACCCTAAAGGCCTGAGAAAAGGCTTCTTGCCTCCATCTGATCTCCGACGCTCCTCCTGTCGACAATCCCTAGTCCTCACTTTTTTTGCTCCTTTTTCTTTTTTTCATCTTGATTCTTGTACATCCGCGATCTTCGACTTCAAACAACATCTATCTTATGAACTCATCCTCAGATCCATCATCACCATCGCTCAAATACCACTTGTTCGGAGTCTTTGACTTCCCGCCTATTACAATCTCCGCAACTCGAAAGCCAACTAATTAATCTACAATATCAAAAATAACCACAATAAAAAGAAAGAACACTAAGATTTACGTGGTTTAGTCAATCAATTTTGATCTACGTCCACAGGGCAATAATACGAGAAATCGACTATGTATCAAGAAGAACTACAGAGGAACCACTCAATCTCTCAACCTCACATTCATAATTGTTTGTGGAAATTTTGCAATAATGAAAGAATTGTATCTGATTTTATTCTCTCTAACTACTTAGAAAAAGAATGTTTACAACTCTCTCATTCTCTCTAACTACTTAGAAAAAGAATGTTTACAACTCTCTCAACTCTCGATTACAATTTGAATTCCTGATTACAAAAGAGAAAAAGAATGTTTACAACTCTCTCAACTCTCGATTACAATTTGAATTCCTGATTACAAAAGAGAAGAAAATTGATCTGAATCCTCTCCTTTGTTTAAATCTGGGTTCTTCACAGTGGCGATGGAGTACTTCCTTCGAATGCTCGCGTCGAACTTGCTCTTCGTTGACGATCCGAAAATCTCAATTTACTGGAACAAATGACTTGTATGGTTGAACTGATCAAGAACTCTCCACGAGTGTTGTAACTCGGAACGAGTGACAAACTCTAATAAGAAAAGAGTTGTTTGAACCGAAATAATTCAGTTAATAAGCCAAGTATCAAATATCTGAAAATCTCCAGTTGTTGAAGAGTGTTGCCTTCAGATTCTCTCCTCTCCCGGATCTGACTTCCAAAATCTCCCCGAACTAAGCTGATTTCTTAGTTATTTATAAGGGATTAAGGGGTGTAATCGCCCCCTTAATTCGCTCCTAAGTAGGGCTAATGGGATGTAACCGCCCCTTAAATCACTCCTGAGTGGAGTTGTGATCCCCTCAGATCGTGAAAAACGGTTTTGAAACTGTTCAGCTCGTGTTTGAACGAGTCAAACGTAAAATCCGCATTCTGGCATGAATTCTGCGTTCAAACGCAGTGTCTGGAAGCTCAAAAGCAGCAATTTGGAAGCTACGTTGCCAGCATTGCAAGCTGCTCGTGAGTTGCGTTTGCAGCAATTTAGAAGCTGTGTTGGCAACATTGGAAGCTGCGTTGGTAGCGTTGGTAGCTGCGTTGGTAGCGTTGGAAGCTGCGTTGGCAGCAATTTGAAAGCTGCGTTGGCAGCAATTTGGAAGCTGCGTTGGCAGCGTTGGCAGCTGCGTTGGCAGTTGCGTTGGCAGCAATTTGAAAGCTGCGTTGGCAGCGTTGGTAGCTGGATCTGAGCTGCGTCTGTGGCTGTGAACGCGGTGCGTCTTGATGCTGGTATGCAGGGAGGACTTCCGCGTCTTAGTTTGAAGAGACCGTCGATTTGTAGTCTCTTTCTGTTAGGACGTTGCAAAGATCGTCATTTTATAATCTTTGTAACTCCCGATGTTGATTGTGAAGGCTGTTGATTAGAGCTTTCATCAGTTGTTGTGAAGATCGTCAGATTGTAACCTTCATCGATCTACGTGAAAGTCTTCAAATTGTAGTCTTCTGGAAGCCGTCGAATTGTAACTTCCATCATCGGTGTTTGATGGGGATCAGCTATCTGTAGTGATTTTTAGACAGCCTACAATAATCAACTCTTATATTCTCTCCAAATCACTTTTCTTATATTCTTTTGGATGGACAAAGACCGTAAAATCTTCTCCCAAAGACTATGAAACTCTCGCCTCTCAAAAATATTCTTAAATCGTGATACGCCCTCTGCTAACCCCAAATTACAAGAATATTGGCTTTCTCCTCTCCTTGGTTTTTTCTCCAATAATAGAAAACTATATATAAAAAAAATAATACCCTATCCCAAGCCTAACTTTCTAATTAGAATAGAATACAAATTTCTTATCATGATGAGACTCAATCTCTTAATCATGATAGACCTCTAATCCTATCTAATTCTCATGAAGTTATACAAATAATCAAAAACACAGTCCTAACAATTGTACTACCCAATTTGATAGAGTTGAAGTTTAGTGTCAAGTTTCTGGTAGGTTACTTCATGAATTTTGCAAGTGACACATGTGAAAAAGGGAAAGTTAATGTACAAGGGGACTCTTGGAAGGACTATATACTAGTAGTAGTAGCACAGGAAAAAAAGTTGGAGCACTTGTGCATATTTAGATGAGTGATTGCATACTTATAATTACTTCCTTGCTAGTTTTATTCAATGAACAAGCAAGGTACAATTGGACAATTTTCCGGTTAGTTTATTGCAGGTGATCAGATATGCTTCTTTAGTAGGGCGTTTTGTCTATTGTAAGGCTAAGTTCTGCTTTCCAATTTTTCTTAGGGGTGTGTATCAGATGCCACACTATCGTGTTGTTACCTTTTACTTTTAGCAAGTGAGAAGGAATTTATGTTCCCACTACTCATTTTTCCACAATGACAGGCAAAGTGATCATGTAACATCACCAAAAAGAAATTAAGAAACGTAATTGTGTACTAATTATCACAAGTAACTTAGTATGCTACCTGAAGTTAGTTCTATTTAGCTTCAATTATATATTCCAATGCTTTAAAACACATCAAAACTACCAAAAAAACTCGAATACTACTTAAAGAAATCCATTATTACTTTTATTTGTAAGAAGTGTTTTAAGAAATCAGCTAATTTTATCAATATATTGCCAATACATCGGGGTCATGACTGATACGATTTTTATAAAAATTTATCGCATATTATTTTTTGCCAATTTTTCTTGACACATTGGTTTAAATCCAATAAAGTGGCTGATTTCTCGCTAATTAAAAATCATCCAATTTTCTATAAATTTATATTCTAAGTTAACCGATTTAGGTTTGAAGACAAAAGCCCACTTTTTCCATGCCCGACCTGCATCCACTAAACAAAAATAGTGATAGCCTGTTCTATTCCACATTCGCTCATCGTGTAACCTTGATTCTCTCCACTCCACCACTCTCCCCTAAATCGCTTGCAAATTTCCCACTCAAAGACCTCCCTCGATGACATCTTTTGAAGATCCTCTCTTGGTATTTCATTAAATGTGCTTAGATTATATTTTAGGATATTATATTAAATATACTCACTAGCCGATATGAAACTCCAAATTTACTACTTATCCCCGATATACCCCGGATAACCGGGATCCGATATGAATTATGGTTTTCCAATATATTTTTTATAACTGATATTTAAAACTTTGTCTGTAAGTACAAAACATGAACAATGGATACTTACCTTTTGGTTACGGTATGCTTTATCGACCTCTTCTTGGCATTCAATGTAACTGGGGAAATCCTTGCCCACAAGAAAATAATCTGCACGACCAAACCCTTCATTTCCCTCCAGAGACCCCATTAATTCATCATAGTTGTAAGTCCCAAAGACACCACTACGAACATATTGCTTGATCTCTTCAAATCTTCGGTCTGGCACAAACTGCAGGTAAACTGAATATGTAAGGAAACACGTTATATCATATTCCTTTCAATTTGAAAACTTTAACAGATATACCTTTCCCTCCGCCCTTTCTTTCCTCAATCCTGTGATTTCATGAGCACAGGCGCCAAAAAGGAAAAAGTTTTCTTCTCCAACCTCTTCCCTTATTTCTACATTAGCTCCATCTAAGGTTCCAATTAGAACACAACCATTCATTGCAAATTTCATGTTGCTGGTTCCACTGGCCTCCATCCCAGCAGTACTATACAACAAAAGGAGTCATAGGATAATCTAGCTAACATTTTCCAGCGGTGCATTACTGCAGTGTTTATCGAAAAGTATAGTAATATACTAACATAAGGCAATTAGAAGGTTAGCTTAAGCGATGAGCAAAGCATATGTGAAAGGATGATTACACCCAGGTTTTTAGCCAAATGATTTGATTTGAGAAATATGTAAAATTATAGCCTGATACATTGAACAGATCAGCGGTTGCATCCTGTAGATGTTACAGCCTAATAGATGTCATACTTTACCTGATATGCTGAGATAGTTCACTAGCAGGGATAAGCATCTCTGCAATGCTGACATTATAATCAGGAACAAAAACAACCTGGAAAAAGCAATCACAAATACAAATGAGCAACTCTATGTCATTCAAACATGATCATTGCACGTAGTGTACATGAGTATTGTTCACATGGAACTCTACAAAATACATTTGTGAGAAAATTGGCAGCTTAGAATGCCAAACAATGAGAGATGAACCAGTGCCAACACATGTACCAATCATTAATTTCGGAAATGGAAAAAAGTCTATTAAAGTTAAACAGTAGATTTGTTCATAATACAAGAAGAAAAGAAGAGAAAAGTAAAGCTCTGAGTGGCATATAGGACTGTGCTATACCTTAAGTAGATCTCCGATCTCAGGATCATGATTTATGGTAGCTCCTACATCTGTTATGAACTTTACTATCCTCTTAGCTTGCACATATGTGGCAAAGGCTTTACCTCCAAATATGCACACCCTAGGAACATAGCTGATGGCCCTTTCTTCTGCAGTCATTTCTTTCATCTTTTTGTAGCGGTAGACAATTCCTAGAATGTTTAACAGTTGGCGCTTATATTCATGTATCCGCTTTATCTGAAAAACACAAAAAGTTATCCAACCACTCCCATTACTTTATAGGACCATAAGTATTTTAATGTAAAGAGCTACCTGAACATCAAACATGGCATCTGGGCTGACAATGTATCCTGTCTTCTCCTTGATTAATGAAACAACTTTCATCTTGTTCCTTGTTTTAGCAGCTCTCCACTCCTCTTGGAGATCCTTGTTATCAGCGAACTGTTCCAAATATGCATTATTCCTCAGAAAGGAAATGAGCAAAATTATGATTTTCTTCAATTACAAGAGAATATGTAAAAGGGAGACTAGAGAATAGTTAAACACAGTAACTGCTGTATTTGATCCAGAACACAAGTGTCTGATGTGGTAGTAAAAGCAAAGATAATGAGATAGGGAATGCACGCTGAATAGTAACCTTTTATATACAAACAACACGATAAATACCAACTCCTCAAATTGGCTTCAAATAAATAAGTATGAAAGGAGTAAATGTGTCCACTGTCCATAACTGTCTGCACATGTCCACGTTTACGGGGTGGGTTGGGTGGGGACAAGAGAAAAGGGTGGAGTGAATGGCACACACAAAAACCCAAAGGAGCTACAATGAGTCTCAGAACACCAGTATAGGGAAGAGAAATATGAAATTAATGCAGCAAATAGATGATGAAGAAAAATAAATCATCAATAGTAATGGCAAATGCTAGAAGATGACTGATTCAGGAAAAGAATGCTAATTTTTTATCTTCTGTCTGGATAATGCAGTGCAAGTTCTCTCAATGTCTTATCAATAGCTTAGTTTACATGAACTAGAGCAAGTCATCCAATATCTTACAAATAAAGGATATTTTACTTCAAAGGAATGAGGAAAGGTGGATAATTCCCACTCTCCCCCCCACAAAGGAGGGAGAAATATCGATGAAGTGTCTAGAGGCCTGCTTTGCCTGTAGCCCCTCCCATCAATAGGATTTGCCCTTAGAACAGTTCAAATTCCTCATTTAACAGAAAACAAAGGAGGAAAACAATCAGAATTACCTTTTTAAGTTCTGCCAGTTTATCAGTGTTCAAAACCCAATCTTCTGTACCAATCCATTTGGTTATTATTTTACTTAGGTCAGGATTGCAAAACCTGATCCACCTCCTTGGAGTCACTCCATTTGTCTTATTTTGAAATTTCTGAGGCCAGAGCTGCAAGGAGAGAAAATCAGTTCAGATTGTATGCTTTTATGTGTACAATGCAGTTAATATGCCATAAGGGCAAACTCGCTCATTTTGTAGTAAACTGGGCCTGCAGATACAGTACTCAATGTGATCTCAGCCAAGAACTATGTTAATAAAAATGGAGCAAAACTCCTAAAAGCATTTACCTTGTAGAAGTTGTTAAACACATCTTCTTTCACAATCTCACTGTGAATTTCAGCGACCCCATTCACTGCATGCCCACCTACGACACAAAGATTAGCCATACGGACCACCTTTGGCAAATTAGGATCAGATTGCAAGAATGTTGGTTCTCCTGGGTCCAGTTTCTCCTCTTCTTGTTCAACTTTATCAGATTCTATTTCCCCAGATATGATTTCTCCATCAACTACCCCTTCAGAAGGATCTAAGGATTTAATCAAAAGTTTTGGCTTCGATTTAGCAGTCGATGCGTCTTTAAACAATTGCACAACACGCTCAGGGAACTCAATGTTGTCTAAGATTTTCATTTCTCTCAGCTTTTGGTCCAACAATACAAGATCCTCTGTTCCATATTCTGAAATGATGTTATCCATTAACTGTTTCAATTCAAAGGAAACATTATCAGATTGGCCTTGATTCCATAAACATAACTAAGAGGAAACACATGTAAGTTCAATATGGAACTTTTCATTGTACCTCTTCATCTATCATTTCAATAATCTCAACATGTCGAGGAAGCAACTTATGCATAAGATCCAAGCTCCATTTTTCTAAAGCTTCTGGAAGAACTGTATGATTCGTATATGCTACAGTTCTGGAAGGGTCAATGTGAAACAATTGTAACTGTTAACCATTTATGAGAGAACGTGAATGAGCAGAAAGAAGAAATAGTTGCAAACATTTACAGTGAACTGTTTATGAGTGAAGGTTCTTATGATGACAGTAAAATTCTGGAATCTAATAATTCAGCATATGAACCAAAACCCAGTGGCAAGTAACTTCCTCTCCAAATAGCGTGGAGGTTGACACATTAAGGAAGCTAAGTCTTTAGGTGCATATGCACATGAAACCAAAAATGACAGGAAGCACTATTTCGACATAATAAATTTTTACGAATGAGGAGAATAACATAGATGGTCAGTTTGATAAAAACAAACATGAAACCAAGTCAGTACAATGAGCCTGAAAATCCACTGCAAGTGCTAGGTTAAACAACAGTAACAAAATGCAGATGTACATCATTTAGCTAGCAAAGGAATCGTGGCAAAACAAAGGAAGAAGTGGAAAATCAAGGCGAAATATTGAATATACCATCAAATTTAGTGAGAAATTTGCTCAGTTAGAGAACTTAGAGCAACTCAAAACCACTTAAAACAATCACAATGAATGTGGAAAACCTGTGATTGTTTAGAGAAAAGGGAAAATAATGAAGAACTAGAAGAAGGGAAAGGGCGATAGAAAGAGAAGGGGCAGATATTAGGGTTTTGAGAAGAAAATTCAACTCAGTAACAAAGGACTAATCATTCAAAAAAAATTTAAAATTGAGGACATTAGGATCCCATGTATAGGCATGGAATTTCTCTATTCTACTCCTAACCAAATAGAAAGGATAGTCGAAGTCCTACTTTGATAAGGAAACACATACAGTTTGTTTCTAAAGCAACTCATAAAAGTCCATAACAAATGAAAAGAAAAAATAAATCATCAATTTTTCTTTGAACTTCTGAAATATTTCTTGGAAAAAATAATCTCCAACGATTTCCTTAGGTTAATGTTGACCCAACTCTGGCTGGTAAAAACTCAAGTAATGCTCCAGCAATAAAAAACACTAGCACTTAGTTTGTAAATTGAAGCAATACGTGCAGACCTTACTGGTGCCACTGTAGTTAATTCAACATTTCTGCCAACAGTTCCAGTTAAGTTTGTCTGAAGAGTTGTTGGAACTGATAACATGTTTCAATAAGCTCGAGCATCTATTGTCATTACATGTGTAAGATTCCTCCTAACATAAGCATTTCACCAAAAAAAATAAAATCATTATTTCAAGAATTATAACACCTGCCTCCCCCTCCTCTCTGCCGAAAGAGGATAAAAAACACAAATGAAAAGACTAACTGAAGTTCTCTGTGCGGAGAATCAAGCCTAGATGCCTTCCAAAATGGTACATGTTTGCTCTAATTATTGTTATAAACTCCTAATGTTGGAGATGTTGAAACATGGGGCTGGTTTATCCAAGAAACAGAATAAATATTTAGACAGAATATACTATAAAAACTGACACAGATGACAAGGCAACACACCTCTGAGTAATGTTCCAGGCCTCCTTCCAGCTTAAACCCTTAACATCAATCAATATTCTCATGAGCTCTGGAATGCATAGAGTAGGATGAGTATCATTCATCTGCACAGCAACTTTGCTAGGGAATTCCTCCCAACTGACCAAATTTCCAGATCTCCTCTCAAAACGGGCAATAATATCTTGAAGTGAAGCAGAACATAGTGTATACTGTTGTTTCAAGCGAAGAGTTTTCCCCTCCAATGAATCATCTCCCGGATATAATATATAGCAAATCTGACCACAAAACCATATATCACAATAGTGTTCAATTCCATTTTACAACTTTTTATTGCAAAAGAGGATAGTAAGATATCTATATTGCAAAAGAGGATAGTAAGATATCTAAACTCTTTCTAGATTTCAGTTCAGTAATAACTGTGATATAGGACATCTGATATGAAAATGATATGATAGTTTACTCCAGATCCAGTAATATGTAGTTTTTAGTGAAGCAAATGGAATAGGCACAACACCCACATCATATATAAAAGGAAATGCGCGGTCTAAAGATGTTTCAGTTAACCAAAATACAGTTAAATACAAAGACAAATAGAAAGGTTTTTTAATGTGTTTCAAGATGCTTTTAATTGGACAGACATATATATGTTTCAGTCCATGCACAATGGGAAATTTCCATTAGACATATATAAGCTCAGTCAAGAGTCTCAAGACAGTCTTGGCCAAGTGCATACCTGAACTTCAGAACACTAAAAATGCTACGCAGTTAGCAATCAAAAACTCAAAACATGTACGTAGACGTAATTGAAATCTATATGTTTACTACTATAAAAAGAGGATTGACGCGTTAAAACTTCTAATTTCCCTTTTCGCCCTCTCAAATTTTGATAAATTTTAACTATGCCGTTATGTCTAATTAATCTTTCATTTAATAAATATAACCTCTTATTAATTACACACCTCCTCACCTTTCTAGATAATTATAATAGTCAATAATATTATAACTATTAATTGTTATTAAATAATAAAATAAAATAATTTATAAAGTAATTATACACAATTATTAGTAGTAACCAATTTAATTATTATTATAATTATTTAAATAATTAAAATAATAGTATAAATAGAATAATATATTACTAAATACTATTAAGAATTATACTATAATTCAATGAGAAATAAAATAAATAGAATAAATTTTGAATAGCATAAATAGTGTAATTATTTTAATAATATAACATAAATTACGAATTACACTATTTATTAAATAAATTACATAAATAATTTAATATTATTTTTAGAGTATTTTCTCAAAGATTATTACATGATACTAAATAATCCACACTTGAAAATGATTGAAAACTAACCTTTTTACAAAAAAAATTATTTAATATTAATAATAGTACTACTGTTGTTCATGATAGAATAATAAAAATTTATAAAATATTTATAGTACTAAATTATTTAAGAGAATAATTTAAAAAATTAAATTAGATAAATATTTTATAGTATATAGACAGTATGATTTGAACTAAGAATTATAACATTAAATAAGGTAAATTACAGTAAATCCCCATGAACTTTGAACATTTTGTAGTAAATAAACCATATGAGCTTTTGAAATCACACTAAACTCATAATAATTTTTGTAAAAAGCCCCCAATATCTTTTAGATAAATTCACCTAACCCTCAAAAACTTTAAAAATGCCTTTTTATGGCATTCTCGGTTCTAATTTATAGAGGTTTTCTACAAAATTTAGAAAGTTATAGAGGATCTTCTTTGAAACAGAAAAGTCATTAGGGGTTAGTGTAATTTTGAAAGTTCATATGGGCTGAAAGTTCATAAGGGTTTGGTGTAATTTACCCTATTAAATAATTATAATGAGAACTAGCTATTGTGATATGTGCTAGGTATCAAGTGTAACTATACAGGGAACATCCGGAAAAAGGTAGCAAAATTAATACAACTTAGTTAATTTAGAGTTAAGTTAACAATTTTCAAGTTGGAGGGCATATTTAATAGAACTTATAAGATTGACAGTTTTATTTAAGAACAATTTTAGATTTGGAGACTTATTTAAAAATACGTAGACACTAGGCGATCATTATATAGAAAAACATTCAATTACAATAACTACACAATAATAATTAAGTCATACATTTTTTAAGCAATCTTATTATACAATTTTATTTATTAACATATAGTTTTACTATTCAATAAAAAATTTATAACTTAAACCATGTATATTCACGTGTTTTGCACGTGCATTATACTAGTTAAAACAAAAAAGGATTAAAACCTTCTCAGCGTTTACATGAGCCTCAGATGCTTTGGAGTGTTGCCCAGCATTAAAAGCTTGCAGATCAAAATCTTTTGATGGTATTTTTGTAGACCATAGGCGGAGATTGATAGTGGTTTTAGTCTTATATCCAGGTATAGGGACGTCATAGGCTACAGCCTTTATGTTCTCCCCACCAATCCAATGTTTCTTTCCATCTGAACCCAAAACAACCTTTCCATAAAACTTCACAGGATACGAGACATCATGTCTTACAATCTCCCAGGGATTACCCATCTGCAAACAGATAGGAAAAAACAAGAATTTCAGAACCTGAGTCAGTAGAAGGACAACTTCAATTCCTGACCATGTTATCAAATAAATGACATTTTGAGTTAACAAAAGTGAAGAAAAGCTACAAGAAAGTAGACAGTAAGTCATACCTCAAGCCAACTTTCAGCAACCTCTTCTTGACCATCTTTTGTAATATTCTGTTGGAACAAACCATATCTGTACCTAAGCCCATAACCCCATGCGGGGTAGTTCAAAGTTGCAAGAGAATCCAAAAAACATGAAGCTAGGCGTCCTAGACCGCCATTTCCCAGCGCAGCATCAGATTCCTAGAAAGAAATATACAAATATGAACTCACTGAACAATGACAACATTTATCATTGTTATATTTACTAGATAACTACAGATGATGACAAACAAAAATAAACTGCTCTTCAACCATTAAGTTGACATATCTATTTAATTAGACCAATATGACATAATGTGTTTTAGTTCTATATCTGAAATGAACAATGAAGCACAAAGTCATATAGCAAAGCCTAAATGTGTGAAGCTCAAAGGTATAAGTCCGAAATGAGGACAACAGTTCTGAATATTAGGACAACAGTTCTGAATATTATTCTTTCTGATAACAAAATAAACATTTGGACTAACAGTATAAAATCACTTCTAACCTGCCTTGCAACATTCTCAAGGTTGTGACCAAGTTCCATTAATGCCTCAGCATATTGACCTGTCAGCTCCAAGTTACCAATTGCATTTAAGAGGGCTCTGCCCTGCATTTCATGACAAAGAATCAACATCAACAATGTCACACCACACAATGTAAATTTGAAGATGCCAAGGTGTAATATGAGCAAATATTTCAACCTGCAGAAATTCCATTGACAGATAATAAGCTTGTTTCATATTTGTTTTATCATAGTAATCATATGTTGCATTCCAGTTTATTATCAATGCATCACGAACACTTTTAGCAGTTGCAAAGTACGCTTTGGGGAGTTCAAAGCGCTCCGGAGAGAATGAGGGAGTGAACTCAGCATGATATTTGATACTCGATGCAATAGTGGAGGAATCATGAGTAGAAGAATCCAAAGCATTTTTGACACCTGCATTAACTGGATTTACAGATTCAAATAATCATGGATTGGGGAAAAGAAAACAATAACATGAGAAGAAAAGGGAAAAAGTGATACACGATTATACATTATAAATAATAAAAAGAAAAGGGAAAACTATAGATACAATGCTCATGCTTAAATCATTCAGAACCATAGCAAGGAGCAGAGATCTTGGTAAAATCACTGATAATGGAAAGATATTGTTTTAATAATACAACTTTAGGAACTAATAGAATACATAAAAAAGGTAAAGAACAATATTTTTAATCTGAAATAAATGATGGGACAGAATAACTAAACTGGATGTATAGAACCATAATTATAATAATAAAACAGTCAAATATCCTACAGTTCAAGTGGTGGATATTTGAAACGAAATCAGGGTCTCAGTTGTCAACTACATTACACTAATGAGGAAGCATATGATTAGGAAATCTCCAACATGATAATGAAGACAAGCAGCAATAATATCGTGGAAAGAAGTGAGCTGCTCATTGATCACGAATGAGAAAAACCAGAAGCTCTGCACCAACAAATCAGTTTTACATGGGATGTTGATGATCGTTGACCCTTCGAGGATACTTGGGGCATCACTTTGGCACAGCAGATCAACATGTATCGTATTTTATTTTAAATCTCAATATTTCAAAGAGAGATTGTGTCAAAACCATGTAAACTAAAAGTCCTGATCAATTTTATCAAACTGCAGATGACTTGGCGGTTTTTTTATGAACATCTAAAATATATAGCTGCTTCCCTGATCAGATTTTCTGAAGGCTCCAATGTCATCTATCTTTAGAAACAAAGATCTGTGAACTGAAACCCCCATCTTGTGTCCATATAAAGGATCCGACTTAATTAGTTACCAGTAACTTTAGTCACTTAATAGTTGGGATTATGTAGCATGGAGATTACTGTGATAAAGTTAGTCATCTTAATTTGGCTAAGATTTCTTATAGTAGAATTTAAGAATAAACTGGTCAGGGTAGAGTTATTTATTTTATCCATTTGTTTACTTTTCCTCTTTGATTTTTCATGTTGGCTAATTTGCATTGGAGTTTCTTACTGATTCATTTCTGTTGTTAATTTGCATTGGAGTTTCTTACTGGTTCATTTCTGTACTTACTGGTTGCCATTATATTATTTTCCCTGTTCTGCACTGACTCAATTCCGGCTCCCTGTACTTCACTTGCTAATTTCAATTCTCCACCAAAAAAAGGTCATAATTATGCTAATTATAATATCAATTGAAACAATTATAATAGTTGAGAACGTATGCTATTTGAAAGATGGTAATTATACGAACATGAATACATTAGTTAGAAAGAATATTGTAGTTCATCTTTCCTTATCACTCAAGATGTAACCTCGGCTTGTGTTAGAAAGAACATGATGTCATCAATAATTACATCCACCCAACAAGAATTGAAATGGTGGAGTTTTAATTAGATCCAACCAGATACAGGATTGGTCAGCAACAAATTTTACTATGCCAATCAAACAAATGAACTGTGCTCCGATGACTATTAATTTTCATTAATTGAAAGAATTCATGTACTTCCAGGTATACATAATCAAATAGGCCCCATAATGAAAACTTAAGATAGTGAGAAGCAACTGGGTAAAGATGAGAAAAGAACAAAATCAATTACCACAACTATGAAGGAGCTACAACCGAGGGTTAAAATGAGGGAGAATCATGAGATAGCATTTACATTTGTCTAATGGAAAGAAATGGTGTATGAATTAGGAGCAATAGGATGCAAACTCAAGAGCAACGAGGCTACTCATGCACAAAAACAAAGGAAAAAGTGAGATGGTAGAAGAAAAATATGGTAGTAGCCACTTTAAAGGAGGAGATTACACTAGGCAGAGGCAAGTAGGAAAAATGTTCAGGTAGGTGATCCATAACATTAAGAGGTTATTCAATTTTTTTAATACCTATACATTATTAGTCTTCTCAATTAATTTTTTCCAGCACATTTTTCCGGTACAAAGAAATATATAGTTTTTTAGCATCAGATCCCTCTGTTTATGATGAGAGCCCAAACTTGACTTTACACCACCGACGAATCAACCGATATAAGATCTCTATGAAATCACCAAAAGCAAATACGTAGCCCAAGAACACCAAGAACGAATTTGGAATTCTGAATATAAAAAACCCTAATGTTATTGATAAAATTCTCCCAAGTTTTCAATCACAAAAAACATAATAAAACCATAATACCTAGTTGTTATGTCATAGAAATGACTAAGTGTTAATCTCATTCCAGGAGATGACACGTGTCTCAAATTAACTATACGTCAATCCGATCCGACCTCATGAAGGCCAAGTCAAAGGACGCCTTCACTCAGACCCTCCTAAGAAAGCTGAGTAGAAAGGCGTCCTCACTCGGGGTCTGCTGCTAAAACCAACCTAGTGCATTATCACTCAGTTGACTGAGTCGAAAAGCGCCTTCATTCAAAACAGCTGAGTCGAAAGGCGTCTTTTTTCGGCCTCCCTTGAAAAACCAAGACGAAAGGCGGTTTTTTCCGAACCCATCGATAATAGCCAGTCACCATCGCATTATATTCACGGTAAGAGTCATCATTACACCACTGTCGAAAGTCTTAATAACTCATTGGATCACATCAGCGCACCTTAACTCCTCCTTCACCGTCACATTCATCACAAAAGTGATTCAGACCACCCACTACCGACACCTATAAAGTATCTATAAAGTATCAGTTGAATAAGTCGATTGCTTGAACTCAACTGAAATTACGCAACTACCCTTCCAGATATATTATAAATAGGCCTATTGCATGAAGATACAAAATTTTTCACACTACAACATACATTAATCATACTTTCTATTCTCCATCTGAGATTAATACTAACTTGACCATTGAAGGAATCCTCGGAAAACCCAACTCCAATCTTCTTACGTATTGTTTGTATGCAGGATCAAACCCTCTGCTCAATAATCAAAATCAAAGAAGATTGAGGGACCCTAAACTCTCTATAACTCAATATCTGACACCAACCTAGCGAGCCTTAAATAACCTATGTGTTGGCTTCCTAAACAAATCCCTATTCTTAGAAAATTCCCTACATCCTAAAGAAATTCTATTTGCCTAAACAATTCCCTCTTGCCTACACTGCTAGACAATTCCTACTTCCTAAAATAAATCATATTTGTAATCAAATCAAATCCTATTAAGACTCAAATTCCTTCATTATGTAGCATATTGTAATTATGCACCATGTGAGCATAGTCATTCCTACGCATCGATGGCTCCAGAATCATATCATTTCTCCCTGCTTTTGAGACTACATTTGTCCTCAAATGAAAGATCAGGAAACCTCTCCTTGAGCTCATCATAGTCCTCCAATGTATTCTCGTCCTTTGTGAAGTCCTCCTAAATCCTCTCTGAAATCAGCAAAGGTTGCATCAATACTATTGCAGCCCTTTGATCATATTTTACCTTCTAGCACATATCACACTGCTACTTTCGCATTCTTCGCTACTTTTAGTCCTTCCCAATAGAAGAAATGCTTCACCATGACATAAGTTCGAAGCCAACCTAAATGACCTCTCTCTACTGTCATGAAAATGAGAGAGAATATCATACCTCAAGCCTGCTACTTTAGAAACATATATAGTTTTTATAGAAAAGTAGTTCATCTTGAAGCTCACATCCCTGTACACCTCCTCGCCCAATCTGGTCACAAAAATTCATACCTCGCTCATCCAACTCTACAGTCTGACAAATACGATCTCACACTCCAATCTGCGCTACTAATGGCATGTAAGTTTGACTTCTTGCTACACACCAACCACTACATCGGACCATCCTCCTTCCAAGGTAATACATCAACAACTATATTCTTCTTTCCAGACTGATATATGATGTCGAACTCAAACCCGAGAAGTTTCACCACAAACTTTTGATGTTTGGAAGAGATAATATTATGCTCCAATAAGTGCTTCAAAGCATGTTGATCCTTCTTGATCTTGAATTTTGTTTCCCATCAAATATGGCACCCAAACCTTCATAGCATGCATGACTCCTAATATCTCCTAAGCATAAGTACTCCAGACCTCTTCTGCGATCCCAATGCCTTTAACATATAAACTACAATTCCAATATCTTTGACATATAAGCTATAGGCCTCTTATCTTGCACCAAAACCCCTCCAATACGCTCGCCACTAGCATAAGCATATGCCTTAAACTCCTTCAAAAAATTTGACAATGCAAGCATCGGAGTCTGAGACATCACTCTCTTTAAATCTTTAGAAGTGTGCCGTGATGAATCTGTCCACTGAAATTCATCCATTTCCAGCATGTCGGCCAATAGTCTAGCAATCAGACCATAGTGCTTCATGAACCTCCAATAGAATCCTATCAAACCTAAAAATCCTCATAAAGCCGACATATCCTTAGATAAGTACCAATTCATTATAGTTGCAATCTTCCGCTCATCTACCTTCACTCTCTCAGCTGAAATAATGTCCTAAATATTCCAAACTCTGCCTTCACAAAGTGGCACTTTTATAATTTAATATTGAAATTATGTTCATCTAAAACTAACAACACCTCTTTCAAATGATGTAAGTGCTCCTCCATGGTAGCCAATATATCATCAAAGAACATCAATACTAAACTTCTTGGAAAAGGCTTCAACAAGCTATTCATCGCTACCCAAAAAGTTGATGGCGCATTGCATGGCCTAAATAGCATCACCAAATACTCATAGTTCCCTTGAAAATCACATTGATCAATAGCTTCAATGACAATAGCATAGTACTCAGCTCCTCCCTCACACAACCACTCAAATACATTAGTGTCACAACCCTTCAATCATCATCTTTTCAAGGAAAGTACTTGTCCTCCTTGCCCTGATGAAAAATGCCAAGATTAAACTGCGACGACCTCTACAAAAGTAAATAACATGTAGCAACTCTATTACACAAAATCACATCCTTATACTTGTCAATTGAGAAAGAA